GGCTGACTATTTAGGTGTGCCTAATCCCTCAGGTTAAAACATAAAATATGAATGGGAAAATACTTCAGTTAGATTTCACTCATAAGAATTTCTAGGGGTGCCAACAATTGTGGCACACATAGTTTTAAGAAAAATATTGATTTCCTGATGAGATTTAGGCTTTCTTTTAAATAAAGGTTAGATTTTCATTCATATGTTTGAGGAAAGATCAAAAGGATAAGCAATAAAATGTTTTTTAAAGTCTGTTTTGCTCTCGATTTACAGGGGTGCCAGTATTTGTGGAGGACACTGTATGTAAATGAGCTTTGTTCTGAATGGCTAACCTGTATTGTGCATCATTCAAAAACCAGTCTGTATAACTTCATTGTGAATGGGCAGTGCTAAACTGCTGTAGGCTGAATAGATGCATGTTTGTAAACACACAGCATCACAAAAACAATGAATTTACAACAGGCTGTTAGCAAGTTATTTTCTATATAGGAACTGTATGGGCTGGGGAGTGAATGGAACAGATAGAATTCAATTGAAAGAGGAAAAATTGGGATTTGCATTATATGGACCCCTTATGGCCAAATGAGTTGCCAAAATTGGCCCATGCCACACCTGCAAACACATTTGTTCATTGCAGCTGCCTACTGAGAAATTGTAGCATGCAACTCAAAACAAGCATTCAGAGTTCATTATTAGTTTATAATAATATTCAGTCTGGAGGCATGTGATAGGTCACACTGTTGGGATAGATCAGATGCTAATGACATGCGAATGACAAAATTTTAGGATTCACTATGGAGCTAGCATTAGAATGGTTGCAAATTTGTCATTGTTGTTAGAAACGTTTCTAGTTTAATTAGCTACAACATGGTCCAGTATGGTATCATAGCTACATCTAAACTGGTCTTTCCTAAACTTTTATCAGGTTCGATAGGACGGCAGACTCTATTATCCAGAGCGGCTTACGATTTCATTATGTTACAGAGTTACAGCAGATTAGGAGTCTTGCCCAAGGACTTCTACCTTGTTGGTACAGCATGGTGTGCTTGCCTTTTAAAGGTATGAAGAACTTTCACATAATGTAAAGGTTCTTTACCGATTTAAGGGTCCTTCAAGACTTTACATCCTATGGAGGTTCTTTACAGGTTCTTTAGGTCCAGTGATTCTTAAACCAGTCCTCATTGCCCCTTAAACTGTCCACATTTTTGCTCAAAACTAACTCACAAGGAAAGAACAAAAATGTGGACAAATGTGTAGTTTGAGAACTACTGCTTTAGGGAACCAAAAATGGTTCTTCTGTGGCATCACGCAAAGAACCCTTTCTGGTACATTTATTTTAAAAAGTGTCCACCAGCCGCTTTACAGAATGCCTGCCAAAATTCTGAAAAGCTTGCAGTCGATAGTTGCTGTGAAAGAACTCATTTGTGGGTGGAGCATGGTCAATTGGTTGCTAGTGACCTAGCATAAATTAACGCTAAACATTACACAGCACTTCTAGTGCAAACTGAAGCCAGTAGGACATTCTGATGTTTGATCAGATGCTAATCTGTTGGGAGCAGAGCATGGAGAGGAATGAGTGTGATTGATTCTGCCCGGCTCTGCTGCAGAGCATTGGCAGCAGAGAGCAGTAAAAATCACATCCATAATAAACAACCTGCCGCACCGGTGGGGGTTGTAATAGGAAATTGGATGGTGCATTTCAAATGGTTTCATCATCTGAGACTTTGGTGTCCCATCGGAATGAATAAGTGCATTTAGGGCAGCCTGTGAATGAATGCAGTATCAAAGGAGCTTTTTTAACACTGAGACATGCATAGTGCCTCCTCCATCTCCAAGTGTTCTGTTCTAAAGCCCATGCTCCATGCTTAATTCCACAGAAGTCCAAGAATTTTCAGCCGATTGTGAATGATTTAGGCCTAATTCTGGAGCTCAGGTTGATTTTCTCCGCCTGGCTGACAAGTGCTGAGTTCAGGCAAATAGCTGGATCGGTTGGTTGGGCTTTATGTGCTTGTTGATCATTCAGAGCTTCATTAAATGTGAATGAAACTACATGCACTTACAGCAAGCAGGGGGTCCAGTGCTGCAGATAACCTTTGCTTTAACTCTCCTTTATGGCACATCATTTGAAGCTTATCTTAGAGAGCAATATTGTTTTAGGCCCTTCGGTTGGACCTTGAGAAAATGAGTTAACCTCTTCTCACGGTTGGCTATAACCTCTTTAACTTGTCTTTGGTTCATAATCCAACAAATTACATCAAGGATCCATTTGGTCTGGAGTCGAGCCATTGTGTTAATAATTCAAGGGCAATTAATTTTGGCTGAAATGCTACCCCAGAGACAATGGAGGGCTCAAAATGAAACGCCAATGTCATTTTAGAAAATAAGGCCATGTAATGACTGCTGCTATGTGAACTGCTTCGATCTCACAAGTCTTCACTGGTGCCTTAATGGAAAAAAAGACCATGAATGGTGGTAGCCTTTCTGGAGTGCTAGACGGCAAGATAGAGAGAATTAAAGATAACTCGGGTCACCCTGGAGACTGAGGGAGGTTCATAGAGAAACGGGTGTGAATTCCATTGTGTTCTTGAATTATTTACCATATATAATTAACTTATGCTATTGGATCTCCTAAAGGACAAGAGTGAACCGCCTCTCTCGGGTCTCAAGGCTGTATTTAAGTGCTTCCCTTTAGTATCACCGGCTAATGCTATTTTTGCTTAGGTCAAGAGTTTATAGTCATTTTAAACTGCGTACATACACCTAATTAACTCGGCTAATTATCCTCCTCTTGCTGGCCAGAAACAGATGTCCAGTCGATAGAATGTATAAAATGTGTGGAGTCAGTTTTGCGCCTTCAGACTTACCGTTGCCGTCCCTGACCTGTGACAGTTTGAATAAAGTCTGAATAAAGCGTGGCACACTGCTAAGGGAAAAATCGCCCAGATCAGTTACTTTAATTATGCCCAGCAGGGATACGTTTTGTATAAAACTTGACCTTCTAATAATGTACCTCTAGCAGTGTTCAGCTAGGAGCAGATAATCAGATATTATCCTTGCTTTCCCCTTACTGACGATCTCCAGAGACAAAAAAAAACCCTTCTCATAATAATGTAACCCACATCCAGTTAGCTCAGAATAAAACTGAATCTAATTTACTGCAACTGTGTAGGTATAACCTTTTCTCAGTGTGAGTTAATTACGAATGATGATTTGAATATTTGCTGTGATCTCTTTTGTCAAACGGAATAAAAATGACATTGTTATGATAATGCGACTGTCGCTTGTTTATCCATAGTGACTGGAAGCCTGATGTCACAAGCAAATTGAAACAATAACGTCGTGTTTCATACCCAATCATGTTGAAATGCATATTAAAAACAACAGGATGAGAGTTAACAATCACAGTTAAATTTCCCTCAAATGCATTATATCGGCATTTTGGGTTAGATTATCCCATTGTAACCACCACTAGGCTAGTCTTCACTGAGCTAGTTAACCTACAGATGAAATAGTCCATTTGTACACCTGAATGTCAAGGAAAATGGTTGTGAAATGATTATTATTATCATTAAATGCCGTCAAGTCTGTTCTGACTCTTGGCCACCATTTCGATAGTGTTTTTCCAGAATATTCTGTCTTCTGTTTGGGTCTGATTGTATCCGTCCATCTGGTCAACGGGTGGCCGTCTTCTTCTTTACCTTCAAATGTGTCAAGCATAATCGTCTTTCAATTTTCAAAAGAAGGTACTCTCAAAAGTTCTCACCAACGTCAAAGGTCGAAGGCATCAATACTTCTGCTCTCCTGCTTTTTTATTGTCCAGCTTCCACATCTGTAAGGAACCATAGGCTGGACAGTTATGATTTTGACAAGTGATCATACAGTCATATGCAAAAGTTTTAATACCCCTAGTCAAGTGACATAAACGATTGCATACAGAGAACACACTTAAATCTGTCATGTTTCTTCAAAATTTATTGCAGTTTCTACTTGTTTGCTGGAGTTGAACATATTCACTGCAAAAAATGGTATCTTGTCAAGTAAAAGTATCTTAAATATAGTCATTCTAATATTCCTGTTGAGATTGTTGTAAGTTTCATTTAAGATTATTTAACCCATTTCTAGACATTTTTTACTTATTTTAAGTAATTTTATCAAGTAAAATTATCTTACTATGTCGGTAGATAATTTTGCTTGTTTCAAGAAATGTACTTGAAACCAACAAAATTATCTGCCAGTGTAGTGAGATCATTTTACTTAATATAATGACCTAAAACAAGTAAAACTGGAAATAAGCTAGATAATCTTATAATAAGTGCACAACCATCTCAAAATGGGAAGGTTTAGATATATCGACCAGGTTTAAGATCATTTCACTTGACAAGATACCATAATGAACAGTACATTTTAAAGTGTTCAGAAGTGTGCTCTCTGTAGAGGATGTGTTGACTTATTTTTACTTGACCAGGAGCGCCCAAACTGGCATATGACTGTATACAATGTTTTGCATTTCATAGGACATCTCTTTGATGCGATATCAGTATTGAGAATAGTCACTGTTATACTGTCATATCATCTTTGCAAGGGCCCGTATACTACACTGACAAATCCTACATAGTTTTATTTTTTCCCTGAAGTCCACTTTATATGTTTTTATGTACCAATAAAGGGCTCTTTAAGCTACAACACTCCTTATAACTTCAAAGTAAAGGGCTGTTTAGGCTAAAACACTCCGTATAACTTCTAAGTAAATGGGTACAGCCAAACTACTGAATATGCAGATATATGCAAATGAGCTGTTTTTCGTGACATCACAAAAACAGTGAATTCAAAACCAGGCTTTTTTTACAGCTTAACTTTCATAGACTGACCGTGTAGACTGGAGAGTGGGTCATACATTTAGAACTGTAAGTGTGTCAAGCTCTTCATTTCAAAGGGCAAGGAAAATTCAGTTATTCACAAGAAAAAACTGTTTTATGACCGATATTGCATTTCATTTGGCTTGCTTTCAGGGGCATCCCTGGGAAGAAATGTGGCACTATCATTTTAACAGCAGAGGAGCTGGGAAACTGCAGGGTAAGTAGCACTTCTTTTAACTTATGTATGTAATAGACCACAGCCATAATAGGAATAGTTTGTTTTGTGACGAGACACATTTGCTTGTGTTTTAAGATGAAATTCTCATTGATTCTGGTAAATAAGCAAGTAACAGCTTTGGAATCCAAGACACACTTAAACGCCTGGACACTCGCAGCTCTGACCAAAGCTAATCAGTTCTTTAAGTCCCTGTAGGGTTGCTGCTGATACATCAGCTTCCCTCTCTGGTCAGTGCAAGAGCAGCTGTTCCTCTGAAGTCAGTTTCAAAGGCCTGGATGCTCTAAGAATCCTGAGATGGCCTTGGAGACCCACAGAACTTTGTACAAATTTCCAAAGTGCATTTGGCTTTAAGCCTCACATTGATAGAAAGGGATAGGAAAAGCTAAGCAGTGTGCTGGAGAGGATACGTTCTTCAAGTGTAATGTATTTCAACTATGTGTAGATGCATCCTGTGTGATTGCTCTTTGATTTGAGAGTTGCTGTGAACAACGCTGGATAGAAGGATTTCTTATCAAAAGGCAGAAATTACTTGTAGTGAAAAGGTGTAATCAAAAAGCTAATTATGAGCATCTGAAGGAATCTGTGTTTTATGGAGGTGCATTTTAAATGACGGAGGGTTCAAGCAGGTTAAGGCTCATATGCATGTTTGGGAAGAAGCAGAAGATGCTTTGTATCTCAGGATATATACTGATGTATACATGATTTATACTCAAGCTAGTGTATTCAGTTGTAATTAGTGCTTAAAGTAACTAGATAGCTTACTTGCAAGGTCCGTTTTGCAGGTTGAGATTACTGAGGCCATTTTTTGAGCAGCTATAGAAGGTCTAATGAAAGCTGGCAATGTTCCTACATCCTGTCTCCAGTAGTTTAAGCAAGGACTAGGCTTAGTGGGTGTGAAGAACTTGTCCATAACTGTCCAGTGGATGACAAACGCTTTAAAATCGTCACATTCCAGGGTTTTCTCGACATGCAGTGCTAGTCTTTAAGACATATTGAGAGTATTGTCAGTGATATGGTAGCTTACAAAAATAGACCTCTCTGTCTGATGAGCTCAAACTGTCTGATATGGTGGAGCTAAAAAGATGAAGATACAGTACTTTGTTTTATTTCCAGTCAAAAAAGCCATTCAGTACATTATGTTTTTTCTAGGAGATTGAGTAAGTAAGAGGGAAGTCCATGGAAAATAAGAGTAAAAACAGGAATTTCCAAAACTGGAGTTATAAAAAATATTCTTGTATTATAAACAATGGGACTCATAACAACTGTGGAAGACTTTATAGACCACCAAAACTATGATCATTAGATAGGCAGTGCTTACAACTTTTATCTTTGAGAGATAAAGGAGAAAATTAAGCTCCACTCTTGATTCATGTGAAAAAATCTGCAGGTGTTTCTGTTACTGAGAAATAGAAACAGATTAAAAAAAAAATCTAACCAAGAAGCTGCTGGAGTTTTAGAACAATGGACAGTCCACCCCAGAGTCCAGACCTCAACATCTCTAAATTACTTAGATGTAAGAAGTAGAAAATGCAACCAACCTCTTAGACTGAACTTTGGAGATGTCAAAAAATATCCCTGCAGATTTAATTGAAAAACGGAAAGCAAGTCTGCCAAAATGAATTAATCTGTGAAGGCAAAGTGTGGATGCACCAAATACTGGAAAAGTCTATTATATTTCCAATAACTTGTACTTAATTCCCATTTTGACTGAAAAGTAAATAATCAAAGGGTGGTCTCTGACTTTTGCGCAGTACTGTATATGGACCTATAGATGGACGTCCATGTAGCAGTGGCCACATATAGAGGTCAAGCTATATTAAAGTACAGTCCAGTCAAAATGTATTGGATGGTGACATTTTTTGCCTCTGTAGTCTAACACTGAAACAACAATTATGTGGTTACAGAATGTCAGTAGTGGTAATGCAGGGATTACAGCCTTTTATACATAGCCCCACTATTTCAGGGAAACATGTAATTGAAAAAGTGGCTATTTATTTTTGTCTAGCTATATGATATTAAATGATTAGTTCATGACACTAACAACTAACTGAAGGTCTAGAATTTAAAAGGTCTATAGAATTTTGGAACAAAAACTGGTGGGCAGATGGCATGAAGATTAACCTGTACCAGAGTGAGGTAAAGAGGAAAGTGTGAGCACAATAAAAAGCTGCTGCTTGATGATTATGGGCAGGTGTGGCTGCCAGTAGAAATGGCCCATTTGTGTTAATTGGAAACCCAGATGTACAGTATAAGTCTACCATTATAAATGTTGTTTCTGACCAAAGAAGAAGAAGCAAACCCTCATCCTCTCCTTCTTTTTCTCATATTGCATTCAAGAAAGAGCTGTGTTCCCCCATTGTCTCATTAAATTCTCTGCCACACCAATATTATGGTATTCAATAAAACGGAAGCAGCAGCTGGGAGAGTGTTATAGCACACCAGGGATTTACAGAGACACAGATACACGACTCTCCCCACCAGCTACACTTCCTGCTAGGACAAAAACAGTGCTAGGGCAGAAAGCTATTTTCTCTATATATGTTCATGTTTGTCTATAGGTGGTCCTGTCATAGAACCTTACATTATGATATTATTCAGAAATACAACTGCTGAATGCCACAGGATACTCCTTTCTTTATGTATTATAATGATTGCTAACGTTGAAAACACAGAGCTAGCTAGTAAGCTTTAGAATGCTTGGTCTTGCTCACTTGAGGCATTATTTTCTCCACAGTGTCCGATTAAATCCCCCCTTCATCCAGTGTCCATCTTCAAAGCTTTAAACTCAGACTCTCTAAGGTATGTGCAGGTAGCTGGGCAGTGACTCCAGAGGTTTCACCATTAAAACTAATGATGATGACCTCTGCTGTGCTAATTGTAATTCTATAACCAGGGGAGTCCGTAACTGGCTGGATTGTACAGTTAAAGTCACTGTGGAGGACTGGACTAAAGTTCATCATCCTGCATAATGGGCAATATGACAAATGAATGATTGCTGAGGTTATGCTTCCCTTAATGAAGTTGAGTGTAAAAATAATAATAATAATAATGATAATAATAATCTTTATTTTTATAGCACTTGTCAGGCTGGTGGCAGCTCAAAGTGCTTTACAGACAGGTGATAAAACTAATGCAAGAAATCATGGATACTAATTTAAAACCATACAATAAAATGACACAGATCAAATTAAAAGATAAATACCAAGAGTCATGGAGTTTTAATTAAACACTAAATTAAAGAGATACATTTTTAAATGTTTCTGAAAAGTGAGCACTGAGCTTGACTGTCTAATAAAAGACGGAATTGAGTTCTACAGTTCAGAAGCATAATAACTGAAACAGACCTCTCCACGTTTTCTGTATTTTACAGAAGGTATTTGCAGAAGGTCAGTACCTGCAGATCTAAGATCACGTGCTGGAACATAAACAGACAGACACTCTGCTGTGATGTAGGTGGTGCTTTAAGGTCATTTAGAGTCTTAAAAACTAGTAGCAGAACTTTAAAATCTATCCAGAAAGATGCAGGCAGCCAGTGCAGTTCTTTCAAAATGGGAGTGATATGATCTCTCTTTTTTGTTTTTGTGAGGATCTGCGCTGCTGCATTTTGCACGAGTTGTAAGGGATGTATTGTTTTCTTAGGAAGTCCAGTAAGAAGAGCATTACGGTGATCAACTCTGCTTGTAACAAATGCATGAATAAGTTTCTCTGCATCGCTCTGAGATCGAAAAGGTCGAACTTTAGCAATATTTCTCAAATGATAAAAAGATGCTTTAGTGAGTGTTGATGAGGCTGTACTATTGAAAAAAAGATTCTTGAGTCTTGGACCTGACACTTTGATTCAGTTCTGATTTTTTAGGAAATGAGTCACTGCACCCTGAAATCTCAATTTGCACTGCAATTTTTAAATTTGATTTGGTACAATTCAGAATTATTTTCAAAATTAATATTGAAAATAAATTAAATTGTTTGCAGGAACTATTCAAACAGTAGTTTACGCAAAAGTTTTGTACTACCCAGACTCAAAAAGTGGAGATTATGTGAAATGTTAATAAAAAACAGAAAGCAGTGATTAATAAATTCTGTTTGACCTCTTATACGTTGAAAACAGTACAAAAACATTTTTTTTTAATGTTTTAACTTATGAACTTCATTGTTTTGTAAATATGTGCTTATTCTAAATTAGATACTTGCAACATCTTCCAAAGATGTTGAGACAGGAGCATGTTTACCAGTGAGTTTCATCACCTTTCCTTGTAACAGCGCTTATTAATCGTTTGGAGACTGCAGACACCAATTGATCCAGTTTTAAATATAGATTTTTCTTGCCATTCCTCTGTTATACAAGTCTTCAGCGGTGCATTTATACAAGGCCTTTGTTGTTATATTTTGAGCTTAATTAGACACATATTTGTAAATGAGAGACAGTTCTGGACAGCAGGCAGGTCAGTCTAGCACCTGCACTCTCAGATGATGCAGCCATGCTGCTGTAACACATGCCGAATGTGGCTTTGTGTTGTCATGTTGAAATAAGCATGACTGTCCCTGAAAAACGGCAGCTAGACAGCAGCATATGTTGCTCCAAAATGTGTTCAGAATTAATAGTTCTTTCACAGATGTGCAAGTCACCCACTAGTCCCCCCCCCCAACCATGACCGACCCTGGCTTTTGAACTTGCTGATAATAATCTGGATGGTCCTTTTCTTCTTTGGCTCAGAGGACACAACGTACATTATTTCCATAAACAATCTGAAAAGTCGACTCGTCAGACCACAATACAGGTTTTCACTGTTGTACTTGTGGATGCAGTGATGAACAGTGTTTACTGACAGTGGTTTGTCAAAGTATTCCTGAACCCATGTGTGAGACCATCACAGAATCATGCTGACTTCTAATGCAGTGCTGTCTGTGGGGTTGAATGTCATGGACATTCATTTGTGGTTTTTGGCCCTGCCCTTTATGCACAGAGATGATATTGTGCACCACAGAGGGTGATATACCTAAAATAAAATCCTTGCAATCTCTGTGGAACATTATGTGTGGAACATCATTTTCAACTTATTGGATTTTTTGCTGATGCATTTTTTTCAAAGTGTTGAGGCTCGACCCATCCTCGCTCATAAAGGACTAGGCTTTTTTTTGTATACTCATTTTATCATCTGTTTAATATGTTTTTTAACATTTCACAATGCTCCTAGTCTTAAATTGACCCACTCCAACTTTTTTTGGAACATGTTACAGACATCAATTTCAGAATGAGCATATATTTACAGAAAAAAAAAACAATTAAGTTGGTAAGATAAAACATTACATATCTTTTTTGTACTCTTTTCATTTAAATACAGGTCAAAATAGATTTATAAATATTCTGTTTTCATTTGTATTTTATCTACTGTCCCAACTTTTTGGAACATCATTTAACCAGCTTGGATGAGATATCAAAAGTAGGCTAATGTTTGCTTCCTATTGTTTTTTAATGTGGTATTCATGGTTTCTGGCCAAAACTAAATTCTCATTCTATTTTCAAACATAAAGATGCACAAAATTCAGTTACCAAGACCAGCACAAATCCCATCATTGATTGTTTGGCTGAGGCAAGATGGCTTGTGCTGGAGGAACAGTGTGTAACTCTAGACATTTTCACAGAATTTCTTTATACATAAAGAACCATATTTTTTTTCTGAAAGCAAAATATTAGTTTGGTGGCTTTATTGAAATAGGGTATTGTACCCATGTATATAGCATTATAAAAGATAAAAAAATTAACATTTGTTGCTATAGCATTCTTCAAGGTTTGTTTTACTAGGTATGTGTTGTTTGCCCTTTGAGGCAGCTGTTCTTTAATGTGAATGGTTGGGGCTGACTCACATTCAAGAACCTTTGTAAAGTAAGACAAGACAAATTGTACTGTAGCTGAAAATCACAAGACACCTCTCGATCCCCTTCATTATCCCCAAACCTGCTGCTTCTTTTGTTAGTTTGTCTCTGGTTTTGTAGTTATGTTTCCAGTGAGCCTCACAGTTCTTCACATTTTTGACTTTGACCTGCCCTTGTTTGTTGATGACTGATGGATTTGCCCACATTTTGCCTGCAAATCTTGTCATTCCTGCCTCTTGAAATTCATCCAGTGAAACTATCTAATATCTGTCTTAATTACATTTTGCACAATGCCTTCATGTTAATTAATTAATTAGAAGGTAGACTAAAGTTTTATTGAAAATGATAGATAATATCACTGACTTGGCTAATTTTGGGAACAAAAAGCTGAACCAGTGCTACAACATGAACCACTGGAGAGCCAAAAATACCAACTCTTGTCTTTTTTGTTTTTAATTTAACCTTTAATTTAACAAGCAAAGCCTTTAAGAACTGATTCTTATTTATAATGGCAGCCTGTGAGCTGAGCCAGTTGTTTCAACTCACTGAAAAGAGCTGGAATGCCCATCCTATTAATCAAATGCAGATCTATTTAGACTTTCTTATTGGCTTAACAGTCCAAACAGTATTTAGTGTTGTTTCAAGGAACAGTTAAAACTATTCTTGTATAATTCTATGCAAATATATGGAAAATATTTATTTTTTCCCGGTACGAACTGTAAAGCATTCAGTCGCACATGAGTTGCTACATATTAGATAGAGATACTGATGTGAGCAGCCGACATGTCCGCAGGCATTGATAATGATGGTTGTGCAGAATATTTCGCCAGACTGATTAAATCCGCAGATATCTCACACGCACTCACACACACAATTTGCACTCCAGATCAATTCATCCATAGGTCAGAGGATCGGCCATCATCGCAGAGCGATGCAGCTACCCCCTATCACTGCGACTGTCATGGGCGACTGGCCTATCAAGAGATAACAGACAGCTAGATTAGATGAAGTGGGCTCAGTTGACACACCAGAGCTCAGATAGTAGACTCAGAAATGCACACACACACTGTGGTTATACAGAAAGATTCTTTATTCCTATTGCATTCTGTGCACGTGCAGCGCTAAGGGCTTTCTCAACCTAATCTAGGCCTGCTGCGTCTGTACACTCATAAAAAGAGATGTTTTTTCAAGGGTTCTTTAGTAAAGGGAATGGTTCTATTTAGAACCGTGAGTTCTGTATAAAACCATTTCATGCTTAAATGATTCTTTGCATGGTGAAATGGTTCTTCGATTGATGGAGAATGTGTTGTATTTTTTCCTATGTAGAAGCTATTTGAAATTGGTTCTATATAGCACCAAAAAGGGTTCTTCTATTGTTACAAGCTTGACATCGCAACAGTAGAAGAACCTTTTTTTTGATGCTTTTAGAACTCTTTTCAAAAAGCTTTTATATAGAACCATATACAACACATCTCCATCAATCTGAAGAACCATTTCACCATGCAAAGAATCATTTAAGCATGAAATAGTTCTATATAGAACTCATAGTTCTAAATAGAACAGCTTTCTTTATGAAAGAACCCTTAAAGAACCATCTTTTAAAAGAGTGTAGCATATAGTCGATTACTACAGACAGTAATTTCAAAGCATTTTCTTGTATTTAGCCATAGGACAGAAAACATGTTGAATTAAAACACTAATATATAACTGTGCTTTTCCCAGACTGGGCATAGGCAGCAAAATGACAAATATCTCTAGTTGGAAGTAGAACATAACATATAACATAACATATTACATAACATAACAATGGGCAGATCCTGAAGCATCTGTCTCTTGACATCTATTATAAATGTCTAGAGTTGAGTAGAGAGTTTTCTCTTCTTTTGCTAAAAGAAATGACTGTCTGTGGTAATCAGAGATTAGGAATGAAGATACTAAAATATTCCTTCAATTTTTTATTGAATAATGCAGGATGTTTCACACTATGACATTCCACAATTCATTTTCTCCCTTTTGAATGGGTAATAATATAGATACAGTACTCTGCAAAAGTCAAAGACTGCCCTTCATTTATTTAATTTCCAGTCCAAACAGTCATCAACTAGAAGTTATTCATTTATGAGATATTTCTGAGGTGTAGATGGTGTAAGAAAGTGAAACTCAAAGGAAAAAGTTAAAAAACAGAAGTTTCCAAGACTGAAGTTCAAAAAATGATTAAAAGATACAGAGAAAATGGGGCTCCTAACAACTGTGCAAGACCTGGTAGACCACCAAACCTGTCACCATCAGATAAACAGTACAACGTAACGCTATGAGTCTGAAAGGATGTGTAGCTGCCAAGAAGCTATTACTGAGAAAATGAAAGAAAAACTGCAAATCAAACAAAAAAGCTATTGGTGTTCTTAGAACAATGGTCTGACCACCCCAGAGTCCAGACCACATCGTCACTGAACGTGTTTGTGATTGCTTGGATTGTGAGAAGCAGAAAATGCAACCAACTCCTTGGAGGTGTGGAAAAATAATCTATGCAGATTTCTTTGAAAAACTGAAAGCAAGTCTCCTAAAAAACAGAAGGTGTAATAAAGGCAAACAGTGGACACCATGTACTGAAAAATTGGAAATTATAATTAGTATGTTTAGTTATTGAGGCTTCATGGTTGTTTTGACTGAAAATTAAATAAATAAAGGTGGTCTCAGACTTTTTCATAGTACTGTATATACAGACATCTTTGTGCTTATCAAACATATTTTGTAGGCTGGTTGCACTGCCACTCATACCACATACACACAGGCTCACAAACAGTCAAATACACAAATACACATCAAGTTCAGCAACACTTTGGTCATCTGAAAGATGTTATATGGCAGCTCCGCTCTGTTAAGACACTGGCGCCGGCCAGAGCTCTAGTTATCTTGGCTGGTGGAGTGTGCTGGATTGTAACACTCTCTTTAACACCCATAAAACTGTCATTTAGCTCAGACCTTTAGCAGTCTGCTGGAACCCCTTCTCTCTCTTCTGTCCCTCCTCTCTTCTATTTCTCTGCCCACCCACCCCCCCCCACCCCCATTTTTCTTTTTTCTTCTGTTCTGAGCTGCAGTCACGTTATATGTTTTAATGGCACCTTCACTGTATGGAAAGATTTGGCACTTCAATTGGCTCATGGTGCATTCATTGGGGTAATAATGGGAATGAAATGTGCAAATGCCTTATAAATTGTAGTAATCACTTTAACGCTAGCTCTGCTAACGTGTCATTACTGCTGTTAAAAGCAGCCCCCGGCGTCCAGTTCGTGCGCACACACACACACACACGCACAAACACACACACACACACGCACAAACACACACACACACGCTCCCAATCATATCCTCTGCCTTGACATTAAGGCAGAGTGTTTTGTTTTTCCTCACCCGTTTCCCCAATGAAATTATGTGCTTCTGCTCATAAACATCTGTTAGGTTCAGGGTAATTTTTAAATGCTCATTATCTCCTTTCCTTATGCTGTAGATGAAAACCCTAAGAAGTATTTTAACAGAAGCTGGGGAGGGGGAAAAACTGAAAGAATGAGACATGCACTCATGCTCAGGCTTCATTAAGATGCACAGTGTGTCTGCTTTTTATTTGATACTCTTGTTCCTGTCTACCCAGGCTGGGGTTCTATGGCAAAACAAGCTAGCGTTTTGACTGTAATCCTACTAGATTTATAACCTCTCTCTCTCTCTCTCCTCTCTCTCTCTCACAAACCCCCTAGGACTGTGTCACTATGCAATTCTGTGCCAATAAGCTGGACAAGAAAGACTTCTTTGGTCGCTCGGACCCTTTCATGGTGTTCTACAGGAGTAATGAGGACGGAACGTGAGTTAGACACTTCATGTTCACCCTCAGTTCTAAAACATCACGCAACAGTGAGTGAGAGGTGTGCTATTTTAAATGTTAGCGCAACATCAAAAGCGAGAGAAAGGCCCTTGGCTTGCAGCGCACAGAGCTTACTTCATGAAACCTCCTGAGACTGTGTTTAGAAATTCACTGCATCTCTGTGAAATGCCGGAGCATGGAGAAAGGAGTTCACTTTGACACAACATATCGTTGCTGCTGGAACAAAACCTTGTATCTCCAAAATTGCCTTTACAAGAGAAATCTTTAATGTAAGTCAATGTAAGATTTTTTTTCAACTAATTTCGGACCATTTCTTATGGTCCATTCAGCATGAATTTTTGACTCAGTGTATAAGACAGCTGGTGTTTTCAAATCATGAAAAAAAAAGAAATATAATTTGAGATACAAGGTTTTGTTCCGACAGCAATGATATGCTATTTCATTTCAATTTCTTTACCTCCATATTTGTCAATTTTTTTGCTTTTTTGCTTGAAACTCACATTGTGTGAGCTACATGAATGCATGAAACATGCTAGCGTAAACAGACATTTTGAATCCTTAAATGAAAAATCATTTAAGTAACATGACATCAAATAAAGTGCTACATTAGAGTAAAAGGCAACTGGCCATTTTGCCTTACATAATTATTCTATGACTTTTTGGTATTTGTGTAGCAAAAGCATTCAGATACAGTGTCAGTGTAATTACCTAGCTCACGTTATTTACATCATTAGACTGGATGTAGTTTTATTGTGTAATTAAGATTACAAATTCACAGTCTGTTTTTGATTAGCTACAACAACATAGTCAATAAACGTACAGCTTAGGTGTTCCAACTTGTGAAAATATAATACTTCTTGGTTTCTTACAGGCATTAATAGTGATATAATTGATAGCCTGATTTTTATTCTAAGCAGAAAAATATTGTGCTAATTATTTTTAGACATTGCCAAGGCCCATGCTAGTTTATTAACTTTAAAATTAACTCACAGTGTTTTGCAAACATACTTGTTAGACTTTAAAGATCTTAACAAACAGCTTTTTTCTTTCTACTAGAGCCTGTGTAGACTGATAAATCAATGTGATGCATCAGTTATATCTCAGAATTACTTTAAAGCACAACTTCATTCAAATGATAAGCAAATTTTTATAATAAAATGTGAAGAAAACTGCCAACCAGTGACGAGGAACAGTGTGAATGAATTAATGAACTACAACAGCAGAGTATTTACATGTGCCTATCAAAATGTATTCTAAATGTATTCTGAATATGTTACTGAATACATTTAGAACGATGTATTTGGCCACACAAAGTGTGCTACTTAATCCCTTAAAATCCCAGGTTTATTAAATGCTCAGGCTTATTATTCAGTAACTACAGGGACTTCAATGCAAACTGGTTGAGCTATTCTTAGGTTATAGAACTGTGTAATAAACTTTGGACCTGCCAGCGCGCCTGGCCTTTTAGGGGTTAACTCTATCAATTGCCAACATTTCTTAAAATGGATGTATCCAATTTTGAAGAGAAACCCATCATGTAATTCAATTCCTATGAATGAATATGATACATGCTTGGAAGGAGCTGATCTGAGTTATACCCTGTGTTCAGGTTTACTATTTGCCATAAGACGGAGGTGGTGAAGAACACACTGAACCCTGTGTGGAAACCTTTCAGCATTCCTGTTAGAGCCCTCTGCAATGGCGACTATGACAGGTATGCACACAAATGATGGCATTCAACACTGAATATTTGCCCCCTGTAATAGCCTGACATGTACAATTTCTGTAGTGTAATCATCCCAAAAATGGCGAACGGATCCAGGCAGTAATGATTTGTGAGTGTTATTGTATCCATGAGTGAAAAGGGGAGTTATTATGGAGGCTAACTGCTGAGAGGAGCTGGAGCCTCTTTTCATTGATTGTCACAGATAGCAATCACGCTGCTGATAAGCCTCTGATTGACTGCATGAACTGCACTGGCGATTATATCTGAGAGTGAGCGAGAGAGGGACTGAGGAGTCTGAATTGCACAGATTCTGTGAGGAAAATCAGCCAGAGTGTGGGTGAGTGTGTTTGTGGCTCTGGATGTGTGTCGGTGGGCCAGGTGAGCCTAGCATGCTCTCAGGCAGCTGCGTGTAGTCTGAGCACTGTCATATTCAGTCAGAGTTTCAACAGAGCCACCTGCCACCTAATCCCTACCTGAACCCTGGCCTCTGATTTCCTCTGTGTGTGTGAGTGAGCGCATGTGTGCATTTATGTGGGTCCACACACTTGCCTCCTGCTCTCCTGGCACGGTGCCAATTCAAAATGACGCTGTAAACAGAATGTGTTAGGGTCTAGTTTCTGTATTTTGTTATTGAAGGAATATTCCAGTGTTTTTCAACCTACTTTCCTTCTATAATGTATGATCGATTTCCATAGAAAATTTCCCTGAGCAGAAAATCTGTTGACTCAAATGTACTGAAGCACTGACTCTTGTTCTAAGCATATTTTCGAGCCAGTACTGTTATTTTTTAAGTACAGGAAAAACATTGTCAATGTGCAACACTATGTTTTGGGGATTTGCAGGCCTCTGTGGTGGAAATGCGTAATTGCATGCAGTGTGCAGAAGAACATTTTGCATTGTCTGTTGTGCTTCGGATTTCTTCCCTAAACAGATGAATCTGATTATTGTGAGCCTGTTGAAAGAGTATTCAAAGAGAGTAAAATTAGTGAAGGACATGTTTTCTGAAGATATAAGCAAATTATTTACTAGTCTTCATATCTTCGTCAGCATAATGTGGATTTTGCATTTGAGACCAAATTTTTTTGACGTTTGACGTTAATATGTGAAGAAGTTTGATGTAGTCTGAAAAACACCCATGAAATTGCACCTGACACCTCTGACTTTTAAATTATTACTTCAGGCTTAGGGCAGGGCCCGTGCACCATATCTTAGTGAGGTTTTTTGTGTAGCTAAGTGTATTCCTTGTTTGTCAGTTTGCTTCTTTTGTGACAAGATTCTCCTCAAAACTACTGCAGCCTTCCTACTTAAACAAATAACCAGTTTAACGCTGCTGAATTGACAGAGTAGGCTAACAGTATTAACACTATTAGCTTACTAGCTACGTACAAATGTGTGCCTTTGAGTACAGTTATCAACAGTCAGTTGGCAAAACACTAATATAATCATAGTAGTTTTGCAAATCTGTCAAACTTCATAAAAACCCATTTACGTGCACTAGGCCCACTCTGTGAACAAATGATTAATTTATCTTCCACAGGTGGACTGAATGCTTTACAATTACTTTGGATTGATCAGGATAAATAAGGACAAATTATCTAGGCTACCTAAAGGTTGAGGCATAGTTTACAAGTTTATTTAGTTAGGTATTTAGTTTAAACTAAAACATCATGAAACAGCAGGGAGGATTCACTTACTTATAATTGTGAAAATAGGTAGAATGGTACAAGGCTGTGTACTGCGTAACATGCTATCATGTGCAGTAGCAAAAACTGACAAATTTGGCTCTTCAACAAAGAACTGTTTAGAAATTTCCTGTGCAGTTTGTCATGTTGGATAATTAAATGGATTTCACAAACACTGTACTGGAAACAGTTTACGTTTCTGTCAAGTTATGGTACCGGAGCTCGGCTCTGTTTGCTGTTCACACAAGCCAGTTTAGCCACTGGCTACAGTGCAGTAGGGTGATAGGGCAATGTGTGACAATGATGATGATTGACAGGTAAGCTAATGATAATGCTTCCAAGTCAGTAATCACCATGTTAAGAAAATATATGAAATAATATGTACATGTAATGTTTTATTCCCTTTTACTGTTAAAACGAGATTATTACTGAGCATTTATAAGCCACTAGGCTATGGAAGAGTAAGTTCCCCACTGGTTCTGCTGGGGGATTCCCAGAGTACAACACACCATCTGAGGAAAAATTTAAGCATTTTCTCTACAGCTTAAGTGTCCCAAAGGTTAAGATGTAAAACCTATGAAAATATTCGACCTCTTGTTTTCCCACAGGTATCTACAGCTGAGTTCCAGAGCAATTCCACTATAATGATGGAAAACACTGTCATTATTATTTTTAGTAATATGTAAAGCTTATTCATGTGGCTTTGGAACTTTACTCATCCATATGTGGCAGTCTGACATTTGAACACACTAACCAGACTTGAACAGACACCAGCAGTCTCGTGAATGAACACGTTTGTAACTTTTAACCATAAGAGAAATGAAATATGTTTCAAGTTATTCAGTAAGATGTTATTAATGATAAAAGCGGATAAACAGACAATAACATAGAAAGTAAGTCTAAGTTAATTGTGTGTATATGTATGTTTGCTGGAGGGGTGATGGCAATATAATCAATAATCCCAATCTTTAAACAAGAAAATATTACTTAATATGCTTTTTTTTATATATATAATGCCCAGGCCTACAGTGGAGCAGATAGAAATTAGGTTGAAAAGCACTGGGTACTCATATACGCTTTATCAAAGAAAGGAGGCTATTTCACACCATTCCACAGTTCAATTCATTTTTACCTTCTGAACACACTTTATAATGTAGATATTAAATGTTACATTTGTGTCAATATCTTTTTAAGAGGTATTTTTTTGGTTAATTTATTGGTGTTTATCAATTCAAACTATGGTTGGACTGTGGAATTAAATATTATGTACAGTACACTACTGGATGAACCTTGGAATAATTTTGTGTTGGGCAGTGCCAAATATCAGAATCCTATGATAGTTTGTCACAGAGTTCGTTAAATTTATGTTGGCATTGAAGTCTATTTTAAAAGCTGATATAGGTAGACTGAGTGGGCTCAGAGTTACATTAAACATCTCTGTTCACATGTTACAGAATCTGGAGATAATATACTTATACTGAGAATATATGAGCAGAGATAAATCTAGATTTTGTATAACAATACACTGTAATGGTAAATAGTCCAGCAGCAGGGATGCCAAACAAAACCCATTCATTAACAGTAAAGATATGTTTTCTCAGTGGTGATAATAATCAGTAAGTTAATTTAGGATTATTATTATTAGAAATACCTTAAAAATAGCCTTTTACCATAACTAGTTGTTCTGATATATTGTATTTTACAGTAAAGTACAGTATAATAACAGTAACAACCATTAAAATAAACACAAATGTCTGTGAAATAAAGGTTTTTGTGAATGCACATTCTATTTCTGTAAATTAACAGTAACAACAACAAGTGCTAAAATACAGTATATATATATATATATATATATATATATATATATATATATATACATATGGTTTACTTACATGCATTTTACCTTTAAAAAAACAGGTATTGTTCATTAAATTTGCAGTACTTTTACAGTAAACGTCTGTTCTTTTCAGCGGAGGCTTGTGGGGAAAAAAATAAAATAAATGCAGCCCAGGTGTCCCCTCTGAATGAGTTTGAGTGTATTGTTGGTACGCTACATTTTCCAAGTTTCTTAATATTATTTTCTCTATCGTTCATATTGCATCAGTCCTAACCTTTGAAAAGATGACTGCATTAGTTTTGATTGACACATCAGGAGGGTGTCATTTTATCCTGCGTGTCAAAGCTGATGTGTCTGTCTCTGTCTCCCAGCAAGACTCTCTGACACAGCGGTTGACCCTGTCAATCAGTCTAATTCCTGATGTGTGTGGTGCACGCTCTAGGATTTTATGGCTGCAGGATTTCAATCTGAGCTGCGGCATACTTCCTTAAGCTATTGATTTCTGTGCCATGTCCTGTTTATAGAGGACCCTGAAGTCCAGTTGAGTTGAACCTAGATTTTTTAGTGTGGCAGTGGAAGGTTTGTGTATTTTTTTTTCTTTAGACTTGAGGCTTATAATTGACTGGCTTATGTGTGAGCACAGTTGGCTGATGAAGACCTTGACATAATTTGACCCCAAAATTTCACATGAGATACCCAGGCCACTGGCTGTGACCAAACGTGTCCAGCGTCTCACAGTCAGCCTGCCATGCTGTGTCACGAGCTGTTGTAAAGCTGTCAGACAGAAAGTTTTGCTGTTTAATGAAACTCAGGGACCTACGTTGGCCTCATGTGTTTTCCTCAAGTTCTGGGGAAATGTGTGATGTTCCTGCTAATCTTCGCTCTCCAGAAAGAGTAAACAAGCCACCCACAATTTCCTCAATTCTGGCTGGTTTCTCACAACTTTAGAACTGCTCTGCACTGTGGAGGCTGCATACTGTCTTTATAAGTTAATCAACATCTAACCCTCAGAAGAATTCAACAAGCTTCTGACAGACTGACTGAATGCAGCTTAGCAGCAGCATCTCTGAGGTTGTTTAGGTGTGATTTGTGTCCACAATTTAAACTAAACAAGATCATGTGCTCAGTCAATGCCAGTTTGCCTTGTTTGATTATCAGCAGTATAGCTAACAAGGCTGCAAAGATTGCCCCGGTGTAACTGACGATGTGAGCTGTCTGTGAACAGAGAGAGATTGTAACTAGTCAAATAGTAATAATAATGAAATGGAATTTTTTTCGTGTTTTAAAAAAATGGATAGCTCCAGTCCTAAAGTCTGATTGCATACAAACTCATTGTAAAATACCTGATATGTGCACACCTGTGAACACCTCTGTCCTGTGAATGGACTGTTATGCTGCTCATGTGGACCATAGATTGAGAGCAGACTCAGCATTGCTAACAGACTAAATTGCTCCTCTATTATTATTCAGTGTTAATCTTTGAATTGAAGTTTTTACTGAATGATTCACTGTAAAACTGTAAAATAAAGAATACAGAATCTGCAATTTGAACCTTACACACTTTTTATAGATCATTAAAGGTTCAATAGAATAGAAAACTGTATTTGCACTGGCATAATTGAATCAGGAAAGACTGGTATATAGACCTGACTTACAGTAAACCTCACACACTACTGTCTCCTTCAAATGCAGATCCTGCATTTGCAAAAGAGCGTGGCAAAATGGGCCAATTCCAAAATCCTAAAATGTTACATAACAATCTTGATTGATATTTGCACTAGCCCATGTCCTAGACCAGTAGGTATTGTGAACAGAGCAGCAGCAATAAAAATGACAGACTATGTGCAGAAATGTATCGTTCTAGGCTGTGAAGGGGATATTCGCAGTTTCAGCACTTTTTAGACTATATTATGATATTTTCAATATTATATGACAAAAAGGTTCATGAAATGGCTGCAATACACGTTGATGGATGACTGAAAGTTCTTGTCCTCCTTCATCAGCCTGTTGTTACTTGGCAACAATAGCATACTCTAAACAGACGTTCATTTTACACAATATTTAGATGCTTCCACATTGTAGGCTGAGTATTCTTCTAAAATTTTAATGCAATTGTTTTAATCTAACCTAATGAAATAATAATGTAAAAATATCACAATGTTTTAAGAAGAGGTAGCTCTTTTAATTTGGTTATGTTTCTGTATGTTCTCTTTAGACTGTAGCTGGCTTCCTCTTTTCTTAATGACTTGGTATGCTATGTGTAGTTCTGTAAATTGCTCATCATGTTAATTGCACTATTGGGCTAGATGTTGTATGTTGCTGCTGCGTGTCATTGTGTGTCACTGAATCAGACATTCAGTTCATTTAAATAAACAATTCAGTAGAATCGGCTCAGCAAACTGAGTTGAAGTCTCACTAGGAGGGCAATTCCCATCTACTGCTGTTTAATTCCCTGCATGCTTTCTGGCTAATGACTTGTAATTGGCTGGTTTCAGGGCGAAATGAGAAAGGAGGTAAGAGTGAAACTGTAAGAGCTACTTTTAATCACAGTACTCTCGTTTTAAAAGTCATGGTAGAATGGCTCTCTTTCCAAGGTTAGAAAAGGTGCAAATGACCCACACACACTTGCTTCTTGTTTACTCTCATTACTTTTCTTGAAACCACTATTGTGTATCTTACGATTCAAAGTGGAAGTAATATGATTTGACACTTACGCTACAAGATTGGGAAAGGTGCTAATAACACTTGCTTCTCACTGGCTTTCATGACCATCATTCAAACCTGTATTGACTATCTAAAAAAAGCTAGTTGAGGTGGAAATATATATGATTTTAAGCCTCTCGCTACAGTGTTTCTCTCCAAGGCTGGAGAAGGTGCTAATGATAAGCACACTTGCCTCTGACATACTCTCATTATCTTTAACCCTGTGTTGTGTATCTTACAGGTCAATTAAGGTGGAAATATATGACTGGGACAGGGACGGAAGGTGGGTCTCTCTTGCGCACACACACAAACACACACACAAACACACACACACACACACACACACCCACACCCACACACACACACACACACACACACACACACACACACACACAGACTTGTTTCTGTGGGCCCATTACATAGACTTCCATTCATTTCCTGGAGACTCACCCAAATCTTATTCAGAACTACTAGTAGCCTAATCCTAATCTTTACCATAACCCTAACCTTAACCCCACCTTTACAAGTAATGATTCACATAGTGGGGACCTGTAATAAATAAATAAATCAGGACATGATCTTTATTATTTAGATTATTTAGTCAGAGACAACTCTTTATTTGTTTCATTTCCACTCAAAAAATTATAATTTTTCAAGAGATGTTTCTGAGGAGATTAGATATGGATAGAGTTCAAACAATTATTAAAAGATCGTTTATCATTAAGAGGTAGGAGAAAATCAACCTCGACTCTTGCTTCAGAAAATGCAACCAACTTCTAAGACTAAACTTTGCAGGTGTGGAAAAATATCCCTGCAGATTTCTTTGAAACACTGAAAGCAAGAGTCCTAAAATGAATGGAAGCTGTAACAAAGGCAAAGAGGGGACCCTTTAATACTGAGAGAAATGTGATGTTATATTTAGGTGTTGATAATTCTGTGTAATTTCTAGTAAATCTAAAATAGAAGGTAAATTTATTTGTTTAAGATCTCTTGCTCTCTGAATAGTTCTGTAAGTCTTATTTCATGGTTCTGATGTCTTCCCTGTTATCATAAAATAAATACTACAAATAAAATAAATACTACAAATAAAGAAAACCCTTCTATGAGTAGGTATCCAAATTGGCTTTTGGCTTTCAGACATGTTTGCTCAATTCTTCGCTCAGTAACCAAACCTGGGTCAAGAAAAAAAACAAACAGCTTTGTTGATTTTGCTTGGAATTGTTTGAACTCAGCAGATGAGGATTTCTTACATACGCAAGAAAATCACGTAAATAAAAACATATAAAAAATAAAAACACTTAAAAAGATCAATTTTAGCTATTTATTTCATGGCAGGTAGCTATAATTATCGCTAAATCTGCAAGTGGTTCTAGTTTTAGCAAGTACAAACATCATTTCAGTTGACACAAAGGCCTGAGTTTGAACTCATCTTGCTATTGGCATCTCGCTGACCTGCTAACATGCTCATTTCTCTCTTGGATTTCAGTCATGACTTCATTGGAGAATTCACCACAAGCTACAGGGAGCTATCACGAGGCCAGAGTCAGTTCAATGTGTATGAGGTGAGTGGTGGCACCATTTATTTCTTTGTTGAAGGCAAAGTTAAACACTGGGCAGCTATCATTGCCAGTTTTGGTACCAGGGAAGATCTTAAGCTGCTGTCATAAAAACTTCATACCAACAAAGTAGATAAAACCTTTCTACTGAAAACACTGGAGCCCTGAATGCTTTATTTCAACTGTGAAAGTAGCTTTTTTTTCACCACTCATTGCTCATGCTAAGTTATTACATGTGCTAAATCTACTGCATTGGCTGGCATACGTTATCCTAGGGATATTATTTGGATAGTTTAGAAATGCAGATCAGCTGTGGGGTGCTTGGCTGAATGATCTGACAGCATTATTGAGTAATATTCTGCCAGCGACGGTAGGTAATTAAACCAGGTTTCATTCACCCTGCTGTGCTGAGGCACCGGCAACTGTGTGATATTACCTGCTCTTGCGCTGGCGGCCCTATTTGACTCACTCATTAGACAGTGTGTCGAGGTGGATTAAGCGCTTAAGGAGAGTCGTGTCATGTCTAAATGGCTGCAGGAACAGAGATGGAGATATGGGGTGTGAGAATGGGGCGGGGGTGCAGTTCAGCGGGTGAACTTGCTCTTCTGTATCAGAGGCATGACACTAAGAATCGTATTAGTTAACCTTCACAAGGGCAGACTTTTCAGAGAGTACTGCGCAAAATGCACTGGCTTTAGAATCAAATTAGTTAGGGATTATGGACTGGCAGAAGTTTTTTGCCCAATCAAATCGTAAAGCTAGAGATGGCAAGATCCCACTTTTATTTTCTGATGCCAATACGGATACTGAAGCCGTATAATGAGCTGTTTTTAATTGTAGCATTTTATTTAAGATGGTCTAAGGTGTGAAGTATTTCCACACAGACAACATAATAGGTGTACCTACTCAATTTTCTTAAGTCAGTGTTAGGCTACAGCCAGACTTCTGGCTTTCATCACAGTCTGGAGCGTTTTGTTTCTTAACGTGGCCAAGGACCACGCTAAGAAGCTTGACAAAAAAAAACAAAAAAAACTGGTGGACACTCAAAATAACTAACCACATACCACTGTTATATCATGCCGTTTAAGGGTACTAATACAGAAAAGAAACACATGGTTATGTGTTTTTGTATATGTGAGATACATTTTAAATACATTTTTTCATTCCAAAATATATTCCAAACACTAAAGTACATTAAGCAAAAAAAAAACAAAACAGAATTAAATTTTTCTGAAAGGTGCTACAAGAAAATAAAAGCTGCATTGGATTTCTCACTAAATGCTGCAAAGGAAACTCTTTTGGGGTGTGTTAACACTCGGCAGGTTCGGTTTAATTAAAACTGACCCTGGTGTGACTGCTCTGTTAGTGCAGCTCATTAGAACAAGTGAGAACTCTGCCATGCAAGCCGTGGTGTGGCCCACCCATATACAAAAAAATCTTTGGGTGTGTATTTTTTATATTTGAGATACGTTTCAAATATATTGTTTCATTCCAAAATGTATTCCACACACTAATTTTTTTTTTTTTCAGACATTCTCTAATGTATTTGACAGATACATTTTACATGTATTTCTTTTCTGTATGGAAAATAAGCAGACCAAGACCCCCTGAGCAAATCATTCTCAATTTGCTTCCAAACAAATTCTGCGCATTTTGTGTCTAAATAGGGGAAAGACAGAATAAATGATTGCTTCTTCATTGTATAACTTTTTTTGGTGTGTGTGAAAGAGGAAGTTCTGTTACTGTGTTGACACGTGTTGCGTCTTGGCATGTGTCGTGTCTTCTCTTCCTAAACTGTAATCCTGTAGTAGAATGGATAGTTTTGGCTTTAAAATAAGGCTAAGGTACATTCAAAGCCGTTGTGAAATTCTTGATAAAACAAACTGTGGCATATTGTTCTAGAATATCTCAAGACAGATAAAACATGTCATTAATAAAAGCAGCAAGCCCAGATAGAACTGAGAAAAGCATGATTCAGGAAGTTTGGTGAACAGTATCACAGTTATATTACATTATATAATCTGCCCAATCAGTTTTGACTTCTTACCCGTATAACTTACATTTATATCTTTTGGTTTGATGTTAAATATGTCAAAGAACGACAAAGAACCACAGCACACCAAAACTAAAATTCAACATTGTGTCATTTTCTCAACTGAGGAAACAGACACAGCAATAAAGATGTTCTCCTGTGAAATTTCTTCACTCCAGCGGCTATGTCTCGCTCCAACAGGCTAAGTTATGGCATGCAAAGTGGGGACCTGCTTACAAAAGTGTATTTCCCATCAAACTATAGTGATGAGGAGTTGACACCAAAATAGTTGATTCTTCAACTGTGACATCCAGGTTGACTCTTGGCCAACGACTGTGTTAGCAAAGACTCTTGGAGTCGACTCTTTGATTCCCCATTATTTTAAATGTGTGTCACCCAGCCAATGTTTTTTAAACTCTTGGTGATCATCACTGTGATGTGTAACATTTCTAAGGACTGGGTAAATACATTTTTCTGGATCCTGTTTATATATGGTTTCTTCTTTGCGTTTTAGAGTTTTTACTTGCATGTGTGGATGCAGTGATAAACTGTGTTCACAGACAGTGGTTTTCAGAAGTGTTCCTGAGCCCATTCAGTGATTTCCACTACAATCATGTCTGTTTTTAATGCAGTGCCACGTGAGGGCCCAAAGGTCACAGCCAGCAAATACTGGTTTTTGGCCTTGTCCCTTGCATACATAGATTTCTCTAGATTCTCTGAATCTTTTAATGTTATCATGTACTGTAGATGATGAAAAGCAAAAGTTTTTTGCTATTCTATATTGAGAAGTGTTATTCTTGAATTGTTGCACTGTTTGTCCATGCAGTTTTTCACAGAGTGGTGAATCCCTCCCCATCTTTACTTTTGAAAGACTCAGCCTCTCTGGATTACTGTTTTTATACCCAATCATGTTACTGACCTGTTGCCAATTAACCACCAGGCTTTTACCATCCTTTTGTTGCCCATTCAATATGGGCATATACTTTTCAAAAAACAGTGAAATTTCTCAGTTTCAACTTTAGATGTATTGTCTTTGTAATATTTTCAATTAAATATGGGGTTTCAATGATTTGCACATCATTGCATTTGGTTTTTATTTACATTTTGCACAGCGTCCCAATTTTTTGGAAATGGGTTGTACAATAAGTTGTATGAATACTGAATTATGATTTATCAGTAAAGAGCTCATTAGCTATCAAGGTCAAAGAAGCATCTGAGTTGCCTTAAATTATGAGATTATTACAGTTTATATAATAAATCAGTATCAGCCTGTATGACAAAAGGGTGCATGAATGTATGCTTTATGTATTTGTTGAACTGTTCTTGTGGCTGGAAAGAACAGAGAGAGAGAGAGAGAGAGAGAGAGACAGAGAGGGAGAGAGCATAGGTATGAGAGAGGATGTGAGTGGGTGTAGCCTGGTATTATCCCTGTGGGGCAATGGAGGATGTGAGCGCTAGTGTAATTGAGCATGACAGCCTCAGCAGGGTCCAGTGAGGAGGAGAGACCTCCTGGAGGTCAGAACATCAGGATCAGTCAGGGAAAGCCCCAGCACAACATCAGGGCCTGGACCAGTCTCAGTGTAGACTTGTCAGGTTTAGCATGATTCTCTTTTTGGGAAAGCAGTAGACCAGCATGCAAGTACACTTTACCCCCACACTTTAAAAAGGGGTCCTAAAGAATTCCTGGCATGGAAGAATGGTTCTAGCAAAATCCTTTGATTGGTATAGAACCTTTGTATTTTAAGGAGGTTCCTTGAAAAAGTTCTCCATATAGTGTAGAGAGTGCATTATTAATCTCAGACACTGTATAATTAACTGACTAAAAGCCTATAATTTACAGCCTATATGCGTCAAAAAGAGGGATTTAGTGGATTTCAGTGCATTGAATAATATTTACCTGAAAATCCTTAATAGATTTTTCAATTTAAAAGTTTCCATTAGCCAGTGACCTGGACCAGTTTAAGTTTAAAGTATGCTTGTGAACCCCTTAAAATCCCAGGCTTACTACATACTAAGACTTATTCAGTAATAACATGGACTTCAGTGCAAACTGGCTGAGCTGTTATTGGGTTAAAGAAGTGTGTAATAAAACTTTGGGCCCACCACTAGGCCCTGGCCATTTAGGGGTTAATTTTAGCCCACTTGTCTGATGTACAGGCAGTAGACCAGTAGACCACTTACACTACACTCTTAAAAATCACTGTTCCAGAACCATTTTTGGTTCCCTTAAGAAACTTTTCAGTGGATACTTTTTTAAAGAACTTGTTTTGTATATGAGATGTGTGTGTGTGTGTGTGTGTGTGTGTGAATAACCTTTTAAAAGTTTATTTTTTAGTTTTTATTTATGCACAACAGACAAACATAGTGAATATCTAAGGGTGAAATAAACAAAACAGTGCAGGGAAGGTACAAAAAAAGCCCACAGGGCTAGTACTAGGCACTTTCTTGGTTGGGATATAAAAATAGAAAACCTTTTAAAAGTTTAAATAACCTCCACATAATGTAAATCTTTTTGAAAGAATTCTTAGAACCTGTGTGTTATAAGAAGATTCTTTAAGCATCACATTTACATATCTTTTTTTTTTAAAACATGGGTTTTAGGAAATTAAAGGTGGTTCTTCTATCACTCAAAGAAGCTTTCTGGCACCTTTTTTATAGAGTATAGGATTCAAAAGTGTGGAATCATTTGCCATATCCCAGGCATTTCACTGTATATAAAATATGTAATATATTTACATTTATTTCTATAATAGAAAATATTATAAACCATAAACACGTAAATGTACCTTTTCCACATATTTCATTTGACAATTCATTTATTTTGGAAACAAAAAATTAGGAATTTATGAATTTAATAGGAATATTCTACAACTCTGTTCATCATTCTGGACAAATGAAATTCCTTAATGTTTTTATAACTTCCTTCTAATTTAATCGTACATCTGAAACCTTTAGGTTGTGCAGAACTAGCACATTGCTTTTGTACATTTATCTGCAACCAATTAAAATTTATATTAATATTAAAATTTTTTTATATTAAAATGATTCCAAACTTTTGAATGGTTGTGTTAGACAGGCAGACACACAGACAGATACTTCTAACTAACAACCTAGCTAGGCCAAGTAAGGCCAGTTCAGTGCATTAAATAAAGTGAACCCAAAATTTCTTAATTTTTCATCTGAAAGCTAAAGGTTAGGAACATAAACAGCACTAACCCGGAATCTGCGTCAGCCCTAGCGCTCTAACATCGAGGCCTGGACTAGTTTCAGTAAGGACTTTAGCTTGGTTACCTGTTGGGATAGACAGGAGACCTGCCTCCAACTAAGACTTAGTCTAGGTAGACGCTGTATTAATCCCTGGATGGAACAACCTATAACCAACAAACTAGGTAGACCAATTGAAGAGATTTTGTAATTATATTTTTAATGATTCTCTAATATATTCCTTTCATTTGCTGAGCTGTGAACTCAATTTGTGTAGTGTCACCTGTATGATTTCTGGAAGCCTGTATGTGCAGAATATACCTAATGTTTGATATGCACAGGTTTTGCTGTGTTACAGCTGAAACAGACTCCTGTATAGATGCATGTTATTTCTGCTTCACCCTCTTCTGCAGTGAATGGAGCGATTCTTTGTAGTTATGATATGACAGCTGTGAGAAGAGATTTCACACATCTATTGTTCTTTCAGCTTGTCTAAAATGTCTATGTCATATGTAATTTTGTGGGTTTTCAGGTGGTGAATGCCAAAAAGAAAATAAAGAAAAGAAGATACATCAACTCTGGAACAGTGAGTCTGCCCTACATACTTTTTGGTCTGTCTTTGCCATGAAAAACTATACATTTACAGCAGTCGTGAGAGCTTTTAGACATTACAGAGCTCTACAAAGAGCCTTTAAAAGCTAAACAGTTCAGTCAGATGGATGTGGAAAAACAATACATCATCACTGTCAGAAAGGATGAAGGGAAAAAATCCATTACTTTAGATGTATTTTTATTAGGGCTGCTCTTTTAGCTTCAACAGCCACAGTGCAGTTTGTCGTGTTCTGAGCTGAGGTGATGTGGAAACCCAGCATGATGCAACAAACCAAACTAGCTCTAATTTTATTTAATTTGAACATTTTCAATACACACTTAGCAAAGACGGTTCTACAAGGATTCTTTAGTAAGGCAGTGGTTCTGTATAGAACCGTGAATTTCCGTGAGCTTAAATAGTTCTTTGCATGGTGAAATTGTTCTTCAAATTGAAGGAGAATGTGTTGTATGGTTCGATATAACACCAAAAAGGGTTTTGCTATTGTTACGATGTCAAGCTTGTAATAGAAGAACCATTTTTGATGCTATGTAGAACCATTTTAAAAAAGGTTCTATACAGAACCATAGAGAACACATTTTCCATCAATCTGATGAACTGTTTCACCATGCAGAGAACACATTAAGCATGAAAAGGTACTATATAGAACTCATGATTCTAAACAGCACTGCTGCCTTTATTAAAGAGTGCGATATATTTATAATAAGTGTTCTATCTAAAGGCCCTTGCTGATGAAATGTGTTGTAGTTTAGGCTACAGTTTTTGTGGCTTGAAAAAATTGAAGCTTTTTAATGCTAAACAGAGAATTGAATACGATCATAACAAACCAATACTTGAGTATTCAAATTAATCATGTTAAAAGTTAATAACAAATTTTAATAACAATAATATATTTTAATAACAATTAATGCTGAACCGTTTATGTTGGTTTATTTATCATAAATTGTTCACACAATGTGAAATTTTTAAATTGTGTTGAATAAACAAAACATCATAAATGGAAATATATGATGATATGTAGTCTCCATCTGTTTATGTGGAGGGTGTATTACTATTCACAAGTTTCACAATTCAATATGTATTTTGATTTTGCAGCGTGACATGATACATTTTATATAGAAGTAATTACAGGTGTTACAATACATGTGTTAATATATATATATATATATATGTAGTTGTTATGAGACGATACATGCTATGAATACGGTGTGATTTCATGCTATAAAATGGGTGATATTGGGATTGGTTTCTTTATTTCCACTTAACACAATCTATAACATTCCTAAAACTAACAACCATCTATGTAAAAATACTCCACTGCACAGCTCTCAGAACTGGACAAGTATGGTGTGGCTGGCCTACACTAGACAAGCTGAAGTTAGCTTCTTATTTGCCTTTTAATTCTTTTCAAATTTTCCATTCCACCTTAAATGGTGGAGCACTTACACTCTGTATAATTAGGTATGATTTAAAAATAAGATGATTAGCCAGGTTGTTTGAAATAGCAATCTGAAAAAGCAAGCTTTATAGCTGGAGGATGTAAAGTTATCCTCACATTTATCTCCAGTTTGGGAACACTTCAGGTTCCCATCTGAGTGCACACAGCCAACTTGGGCTTCTCAATTATGGCTTGAGTGCCGACTACGGCTGCTCGATTAGGGCAGGAATTCTAATCATGATTACTTTTGTCAATATTTAGATCACGATTATTTAATTATTTAACATGATTACTCATTGACTTATAAAAAAAAACTTTTTAACATTGAATTTCAGATGATTAAACAAATCGATTGTATTGCCTTGCGGTGCAGACACCACCATATAACAAATATTGCGCAGTATTTGTTCTTGTTCTTCATCAGACTCTTGGACGCCAAGGTGTTTCCAAACGGCTGTATTGGTTTTACCTTTCTTGTTGACCAAAGGCTCTCTTTTCTTTATTTTGGCCTTTTGGCCTGAGCTGAACTACACAGTCTGACTGAGAGTGAGTTTGGCGTTTTTAATGAGGGGTTTAAAGTCTATAATACTATAATAAGTCTATAATAGTCTAATACCTCAGATATGCTAACTGTTTTGTGAAGACATCACCCAAATGTCTGTGTTATATGAGTCACAGCAACTGCTTCGCCACACAGGATGTAAGCAGCGATTCTGATCAGACGAAACAAATAGCTACATGCGGATATGTTTGCCAAAAACACATACAACATGTGTTTTTGGGAAACAAATTAAGAAATAAATAAAACACAGAAGTTATGTTAGCATTTCTCTTGTAAATCCATGTCAAAAAATGCATCGTATACGTATCATAGTGTGAAATGTGCATACTGTTACACCCCTAGAAGTAATAAATAACTTTCATTTTGCTATTTTTCTGTCAAACTGCCAAAACAAGACTGTAGCACCTGGTGAAGGGTAGCAGGTGTTTTGAAGACAACAAATGTTTTTGTGTTTTTAATATAACAGTGCAATCTTTACATATTATGTCAGTATGTGTGACATCACAAATATTTCTATAGCATGAAATCTAACTGCATTTGATTCACACCATGTACTGTCCCACACCCAGTTTGCAGAAATGAATATTAATATGCATGTCTTAACACCCCTAGTTTATGTTTAGCATTCAGATTTGGAGAATAGATTTGTTTCCTCAGCCTTCAGTGCTGTTGATGTGCTAGAACAAATTATTTGAAAGTGCATAAGTGTTTTGCTTAGACTGTACTGTTGTGGCTGATGATGCTGTGAGAGGCCCTGCATTGAGCTGTGTTGTAATTGTACGACTCAGAATGCATCTGTGGAAAACTCAGGCTGCGTAATTGAACTCGTGCGAATAATCCGTCATCTGCCTGTTCTGTAGCACAGCTAGGCTTCTCCTTTTGTCATGACAATACTAATGAGCAGGAATGCACTGCTTTGGCAGTCGGAGGCTTGTGTAAGTGTGTGTGTTGTCGTATTGACGGGTCGTTACGAGGCAGATGTGGTGTGTGGGACATATGCTGTGTGGTGGCAAGTGCTGTAAATTTTCTGTTTTCTTAAATTCCCAAGGTGACATTGCTTTCATTCTCCGTGGAGGCGGAACACACTTTCCTTGACTACATCAAGGCAGGGTGAGTACAAACCACACACACACATAAGCACAACAAAATGATTGTCTTCTCTGCGTTCCTTACTCTTTCCATAGATGAAAGTGTCAAAGCAATTTGAACAGGCATTTTCCATATCAGTCCTCAAATTTGCGCTGCACAGTAGGCCTATAAAATGGTGTGAAAATGCATCATAACATGGAAGCGGTGTATGAATATTAAATGTTTCACATAAATTTAGCCTTTATTGGACTGTAGTTGCAGAGCTGGTGGGGTTTTACTGATGTACTCTGTACCTACATCTTTATTGGACATTTTATCAGAAACCAAATGTGCTTTGTGAATATTCTGTTTCTGGCTGTAGGCCGTCTGTTACTGCATGGTTTATTAGCCCCGTCTACCCCATCCTCAATGGAAAGGGACCACCACAGGATCACTGCTGACCAGATATTATTTGAGTGTTGGGCCTTTCTCAGCACCACGGTGACACCATCATAGTAGGGTTTGTGCTTGGAGTTTTTAAACATCTCACTATTGGGTTGAGAACAGCCCACCAACAAAAGAAATCCAGCTACCTGTGGTCCCGTGGTCAAAAACTGACCACTGATGAAAGGCTAGAAGACACAAATTGGGCATGAAAAAAGATGAGCCATAGTCTCTAAATCTGTTTTGAAATCTGGTAATATCTGCTTTGAGTTGGGCTGTATTTATTCATTATATTGGTATTTGGTTCCCTGAGAGACAGAGACAGAGATAGCAGCCTAGCTAACTGGTTTAGCTGATTCCATAAATCCACACGAATCTGGTATGAAACACTGAAATGACTATCTGAGTCATAAATGTGGTTATATTTAAGTTAGTGCATTCATGATGGAATTGAACCAGGATCACTAAAGTAGCAATGGTATATGAACTTGGCTATGCATTCAGCACACATTTACTACACTTTTGTCTCTGATAATGGGCTGCAGTCAGTGATTGTAAACCTACAGTCTCCACGTATGTGGTAATTGACCAATGGGTGTGGATATAAGATAGATGTACATCATAAACTGGCAACTCTGTGTGTACAGGATCAGTGAAGAACATAAAACGTTGGCAACAGCACAGCCACAGCCAGACACAACAAACAGAGCTATTGTCGTGAGTACAGTAATCATCACTTCAGGTTGCCGGGTCTTCTCCAGCTTGCTCTGATGAAAGGCTCACTTTCTAAATGGAAGTGTTGATTGCAGGAAAACATTAATCTCCCTGTCTCTGGCCTCTTTCCACATAGACGTGCCCTGACATTGATTTTATGTGCTGGCACAGTCTACTGTGCTTCCTTACTCACCATCAGTTGCCCACAACTTTGCCTGTCATTTATAGATGTGTTTGCTGTCACTTGCTGTCACTAAAAGGGCATCATACTCAAAAGTAAGTCAGTAGTCAACTTTATTAGATAAATAAAAATGTGTTTTCCATACATCAGGTAGTATTATTTTCAAAAACATATCCAAAAGTGGATATACACAAGCACTTTGGATATATATGTACACAAATATATTATGCTTTACTGTATTTATGTTAATCACATTTAATTTATTAATATACAATGCTTTTACAAGCACACACATGCTTATTCCCAAGAATAATGGTTTTAATTAATGTGCTTAAGTGCCTAACACCATTGCACAGTACTCTACATATTTTCACTGGACACTGGACAAAGCTACATGAGAATGAATGGCACACAGACACATTTTCACCTGATAAGTAATAAGTGCCTTCATTCAGTAACTCAGTAGTTTTGAATGTCATTACACTTCAGCTAGGCTTAGTTTTGTTACTTCAACCGTGCCTTTGACTGAACATCAAACCTGACAAATTGTATCATAGTTTGTATTATTGTTTTTTTTTTTTTACAAGAACCAGAAACCATTGTACTGGACAATGGTAAAGAAGACACACAGTCACATAACATCACTGATCAAAGAAAAACATTTGGTTTTAATTTTTTTCCATTTTTTTTTTCATTTTTACTTTTCTACATCATCTGACACTGGCAGCTGCTCTTCACATTGTGTGAAAATTTCATGAAGAATGGACCAATAGAAATGCTCCAAAATAGCTTGAAATAAAATCGTTTCAGATTAGAGCAGAGATTCATTAACTTACACTGAAAGTAAAGAGCATTTTTGCCCTCTCCTGTACATGTACCATTTTGGAGATACGGGTTTTTCTTTGGACGGTGGTGATAGGTGAACCTTATCTCTTAACCTAAGTCTTTTTCTAGATAATAATTGGCTTCATATTACTGCAGTTGATAACAGCTCTAAAGTGCTCTAATGGTTGTGCTATCTCAGCGCTGCATGTGTTTTCCTATTGATCGGTGGCTGCCCTGGTTTATGACCCACGCCTGCAGGTCTTCCTGTGTCCTACATCAGCTAGTGACCGAATTCTGCTCTCACTGTGTCAGTCAGTCTGGAATAGAGGGTGTAGGCAGGGCTGAATGATGCTGAGAGTCAGTCACATTGCAATATTTTTATAGTTAAATTTGTCTAAATGTGGAAAGCAACAGAAGCCAAAATGACACAAAGTACCTAGAGAAACTCTGGGAGTCTGTGACCAAGAGGCAGAGGTGGGCAAGGTGGCCTGAACCCCTGTTTATTTTAAAAGCATTTCACTTCTGTAAAAATAAAACTTTCTAAAAAAATATTTAAAAAATGACTTCAGTAAAAATATAAAATTACCAGATCAAAAGGCTACTTAAATACTGAATAACTTGCAGCAGAACTTCTTAGTGCATCCAGCATCTGTTATCAAAGGAACTTAAGTTTGTTTTTCTCTTGTTGATGTGCTATTGTTTAAATGTTTCTTTAATACATATAACTGATTACACTTAATTAATAGCCACCCCAAGACCACCCATTATTTATTTGATTTCCATTTATTTAAAACAGTCGATAGGTGCAGGATATTCATTCCTGAGGAGATTATAAGATAATCTAATTGCATAAGGAAGGAAAGTCAAAAGAAAAAAGCAGAAGTTTCCAAAACTGGAGGTCAAAAAATGATTACAAGATACCGAGAAAATGGGACTTTGAACAACTGAGTAAGACCTGGTAGACCACTAACACTATCACCATCAGACCAGAACCTAAAGCTTTCATCTTTGAGAGAGTGGAGAAAATCAAGCTCCACTCTTGATTCAGATCTGAAAAAATCCACAGGTGTTTCTGTCCATCCTTTAACTGTGAGAAGACAACTCAACGCTATGAGTCTGAAAGGATGTGTAGCTGTCAAGAAGCTGTTACTGAGAAAAAGAAATAGACACAAAAGAAGAAAATTTGGAAATCAAACAAAGAAGGTGCCAGTATTCTCAGAATAATGGACTGTCCACCCCAGAGTCCAGACCTCAACATCACTGACTGTATCTGAGATCACTTGAATTGTGAAAAGCAGAAAATTCAACCAGCTTCCAAGACTGAACTCTGGAGGTGTGGAAAAATATCCCTGCAGATTTCTTTAAAAAATTAAAAGTGAGTCTCCTGAAACGAGTGGAAGCTGTAATAAAGGGAAAACGTGGACACATTAAATACTGAATATTGACATATTTAGTTGTTGAGGCTTCTGTGGAATTGTCAGTTGAACATGCTTAATGTTTTTTTTCTAGATGCTGACGAATGAATAACTTGTATTAAATGGCCATTTTGGAATTTAATTAAATGAAGGCTGATCTCTGACTTTTGCACAGTACTGTATTTTCCTGCTGCAATGTCAATATTTGGAAAAAGCCCATATTACACTAATGATTAATACGTAATATATTATGTAGCCACAGGTGTAGGAGCAGGTAACAGATGTAAGACATATGAGAGCTAGAGAGGCAATGACAGGGGGAAATTTTAACTGTGAAGGATGTAGCTGACCTTTCACTCTCAAACGATTCACGACAGACTGCTGTCCCTCATGCACAGCATTTAAACACGTCCTGATCCGCTTTTAACCTTTTCCTGTTGAGTGTCCACTGTTTTCATTCCCTGCCATCAGCTCTTGACCTTTGGTGCTGGTTATACTGTCAGACTTCTTTCCACAGCAAGTTTCAACCACTCAGCTTCTCCTAACAGAGTGGTATCTTTACTACCACAGACTAAAGGCCTAAATGACATCCAGGTACTTCAGAGAGAATTCTCATGAAACGGCAAACTGAAGGTTTCATTAATCTTTGAATATGACCAGGTGATTATAAAGCTGGCCATTAAGGCTCTCAATCCATGTGCTCCTTAGTCATAAAAGTTAATGTCAAATTTTTTGCCATTCCTTAGCAAGTTTATTAAATGTTTAATTGCATTTTTGAAAAGAAATGACCTAAAGGAATCAGGGCTTCTGCACTGAATGGAGCTTCAGCACATTTGTTTTAGATCAGTGGCGAACCTTGACTATTACAGGCCTACATTTCGGGCCATAAATGTCAAAACTTGGTTAAAAACAAGCATTCGTGTAAAATACCTCTACACGAATGCTAATTATACTAGCATCTGTATAGGATGAGTATGAGTATGATGGCGCTAAGCTAACGATGCCTCACATAAACATTTTTTGGCCATTCAAGATTAAACATGGATCATTGAGGCTTGTAAAAGACATTCCATGTTTTAAGCGTATAACATATGTAATGACATATATTTTATAACCTCCATATAAATAAATCAGGTTGTTGTACTATTTAGTTAGCTATGCTAGTTACTTGAGCTTGAGGAGCTTGCTACTAGCTAACATTACCTATACTAGCTACTTGCTGAGATCTCAGCAACAACATAAAGTAAGTTAAAGTTATTAGTTCACTATGAAACTTTCAATTTAAGCTGGTCTAACTTCAACAGTCCAAAAGTGGGTAAAGTCACACAGCATGGCTGCTGCTTCATGTTACAGTAGGGGTTGTCATGCTAATAAAGTTAGAACTGCCCCTCCATCTCTTCAGTGTGAAATGCTGAGTGAAGCTGCTCGATATTGTCCAAGATTTGAGAAAGTGTCCAGAGTGA